GGGAAGTGCTGCGCGTAATGGGGCTCTGTGTAGGTGATGAATTCTGAATGCTTAGGTAAGCACGGTGGTTTCCAGGTAGCGTAAGTGACAGCTTCCTGAATATGAATGAGGCTGGCTTTGCGGGGGCGACTTTGTTTCTCTCCTTCCTAAACTCCAGCTCATTGTGAAACTCTTCCCTGTCAAATTTCCTAAGATTTGAATGATATACGAATAAAACTCAGTTTTCGAATCAGACTGTGTAAGAAGGATGGTGGAATGGGGACTCCAGCTCCTTCGAGAAGACAGAAAAGAAAGAAGGGGCAGAGGAGAAAGCTCATGGAGGCCACGCCCCTGTCCTGGCCCCAGGCTGCTGTGTGCTTCCCGTCTGGGTGACCCTCAGATGAAACTGATTCTTCGCCCTGTACTCCACTGAGACTAGTACCGAGGATAACAGCGGCATTCACTCATCACAGACAAGAGCTAAGTTTCACACAGGAGTTGGGTGGGGTCCCCGCGGTCCCTCTCGCCTGTGGACAGCACCCAGGACCTCAGGCATGGCACATGCACAGTAAACACGAGCCTCAGCAAGTTAAGCCACCTGGAAACTCCACAGTTGTGAACTTTCTGCAGCCTTCACCAGCAGAAGGGGAGACGCCCACGTGGTATCCAAAATGCCCAGGGAGAAAGGGAGGTGCAGTGGGCACGGGGACCTGTAGACAGAAGCTCTTAGTGGTGCCATGGTGACCCAGAGCCATACCGCCTGGCTTGAGCTCCCTGGACCAATAAAAGGTGCAGTTCTGCATGCTGGCAGGCCAGGTGCAACTTTTTATTTTGATTCTTACTTGACGGCCAGATACGTGTGAGTGGAGGGACGGGAGTGAACTGAGAACGCCACAGAGCACGGGTTGGGCAGGGCGGTGGGGCGACCAGGCCCTTGGCAGACGGTCACCAGGTGAGCACCGAGGGGTGATGCTGCTGTAGCTTCCTGTGAAAGAGGAAGGCCAGCCGGGTGTGGTGGCTCACGCCTGTAATCCCAGCACTTTGGGAGGCCGAGGCGGGTGGATCACCTGAGGTTGGAAGTTCGAGACCAGCCTGACCAACATGGAGAAACCTCGTCTCTACTAAAAATACAAAATTAGCCAGGTATGTTGGCATGTGCCTGTAATCCCAGCTACTTGGGAGGCTGAGGCAGGAGAATCACTTGAATCTAGGAGGTGGAGGTTGCGGTGAGCAGAGATCATGCCATTAAACTCCAGCTGGGGCGACAAGGGCAAAACTCTTGTCTCAAAAAAAAAAAAAAAAAAAAAAAAAAAAGGAAGGCCACAGTGAGCACACGGCCCCAGGAGAGCCACAGTGGAAGCAGGGAGACCCGGGAGGGAGCTGCGACCACCAGGCCAAAGAGCTGCTGGCTCAGGTGGCTGCAAGGCGGGGAGGAGACTGGCCACAGATGCCCTGCCGAGAGAAGGATGTGTGGGGGTACAAAGAGGAGTCTCTGACTCCTGCCCAGGAGTCAACCTGAGTAAACGCCGGTCCCCTCGGCTGCAGAGGGAGGACGCGTGCTTCTGCAGGGAGGGGAAGGAGATGCCCAGAGCCGATGGTACCGGCTTCGACACAGGTGGCACTGGGTTTGCCTGTTCTGCACTTTTGTGCTCCAATGTGCATGCACAGTGGCGGCACGGTCAAAATATCTGGCCAATATGTGGAAGAGTCTCAAGCTCTCTGTCTGACTCACAGGAGTGTCCTCAGAGGAGTGTCCCTGCAGGCTGGGGTGCGGGCAGGGTGTGCTCTGCTCTCAGGATCTCTGAGCTGAACTCGGCCTTGTTCTTCTATGGCCTGTGTATGGTTCTTATACTTTTTAGGTGGTTGAAAAAAAATCAAAGGAACAATATTTTGTGATGTGAAGTTATGCAAAATTCAAACTTCAGTCCACACGGTTACATAGCAACATGGCCAAGTTCATTCACTCATGCGGTCTCTGGCTACTTTTGCACCACAACGGCAGTGCTGGGGAAGTGCCAAGGGGCAGTCCTACCTGCAAAGCTCTTTCATAGGAAGAGTCTGCAGACTCCTGCTCTAACCCACACGTGACGGCAGGGAGCCACCACCTTGACCTTGGTGAGCGTGAACGGGGGCAGAGGTGGCACTAACCTGCTGGAGGTGCTAGAGAGGTACTCACAGGAGCTGTGGCCGGGGCCAGGGGAAAGGTGTAATCAAAACAGAATACTATGAATTTACATTTTCTAGTACTTAAAAAAATATTCAAAATACCTTTTTTCATTGCAGATTTATAAGTAGAATTTCTGCAGACAGGTTTTAAAAGACACTTGTAGGCTAGCCTGGAAACCTAACCACTATATATAACAATTCTATTTAAAAAGTGTATTCCAGTTCAAAATAAACATCTTACAAGTGACTTCAGAGTATATTTCATTGGTGACTTGGCAATACCTCGATTTATACTCTAATATACAGTGTCAACTCTGCGTTTTCTGGGTACTTGGCATATTTTAGCAGACAACCAAACACACAAAGCTGCAACGTTATTTCTCAATGAAAATTAACAAGTTGGTCTGTCTGGGCTAAGCTGGCATGTCTGGGTTGTTGTGTAGTGAACCTTTCAGTTCTCCATACCCTGGAGGGCATGGTGCAAGCTCTGGACTCATTCTATCCAGAGGTGCTCAAGGCAGCAGCTGGCCAAAGCCGGGAGCACACCCACAGGCTTGCCCGGTGGGAACTGCTTTGGTGGATGCCCTGCGTCTGTTTCAGGTCTTTAGGTTCCCATGCGCTGCTGTCTTTGTGGCTGGACTGCCGTCCCCAGGAACCACAAGGGAAGTAGAAAGAGAGCTTGAATCTGAACGCAAGTGAAAAGCCCATCATCAAAGCTCACGAGATGGAGACGGCGGGGGGAGCGAGACGGCAGGGGGAGCAGGCGGGGGGAGCGGGCGGGGTGGGGGAGACGGCGGGGTGAGTGGGCCAGAGGAAGACGGCAGTGGCGGGGGTCCCGCAGACCTGAACACACACATTAGGAAGGAAGAAAAACTCAAAAGTTAATGAGCTATTTTTATTTTGCACTTGAGAACTGAAACAGGACAAGAGGGTGATCCTAGAGAAAACAGAAGAAAGGAAACAAAACAAAGTACTGGAATAGAAAAATAAAGATAAAATAATGCAGTAAATTCACAAAGCCTAAGTTAGAACTTGAGGACACTAAAGAAATGAACAAATATCTTAGAGGATTAATCAGTAAAAAGAGGAAAAGGCAAATAAACAACAATAGGAATAAAAGGGGACACATCTAAAGAGACAGCGGATTGGGAATGACAGAGCAGCTGGAACAATAAAGAGATTAGAGACTCATGAGAATACTGCAGACAGCCTCAAGGGAAAGGATGAGAATACTTAGCTGGATTGAATAAAATCCTAGAAAAATAAAAGTTTTTGAAGCTAGCTTAAGAAGAAATAGAGAGTGTAAATAATCCTATCAGCATTAAAGAAATGGAATACAGAATTCAAACCCACCCTCACAACGTCACACTAGCCCAGACAGCTCAGGGGCAAATTCAGGGGAGGCTTCTCGGCAGGTGCTGCCGGATGGGCGCTCTGAATGCCAGGGGAGCGGTACCATATGCCCGAGAAGAGCTTCCCCACCGAAGCCCAGGCTGGGGGCCGCGAGGGCCGGGGCCCAGCAGAGCCGGGCGCAGCGAGTGAGGGGTGTGTCGGACGTGGGGCTCCATGGTGGCAGGGGCTGAATTCTGAGTTTGCTAATTAAAAAAAGGAACAAAAAGGAAGAAGAAACCAGAACCAGCCTCACAGTGCCTCACAGTGCCCCGACAGGAGAATGGATAATGGAGTCATGGCAGATAGCAGAGGTGAAGGAACAAAACCTAGATGACCACCAAAGATACAGATTGAAGTCAGAGCCAAACAAACAGGTTTTGCAGGCCACGCGTTGTGTGATGGCGCCAACAGGAGTTTGTAAAAGCCTCTAAGCAGGTACCACGTATGTGCCAGGGCTCACGGCCAGAGAGGGAAAGGGTAACGTTACCAGAGGGAATGGGACTGGGGTGGGCTCTGGGGCTCGACCTCTGTAATTCCTTAAGCTGGGAATACAACACACACACACACACACACACACACACGCGCGCGCGCAAGTCTCTGTAAATTTTTACATGGCTAAAATGTTCCTTAATATGAAAAAAATTCAAGTGAAGCCGGTCAGCCATTCTGGATAGTCAGAACAAGAGGAGAGGAGGCTCGTTTGGTTAAGCCCTAAATCTGTTACCAGCAGTGTGAAGATGAACACAGCTACACAATAAGAAAACACAGTGAATTCCTGCTTCTCCTGCTTTACATCAGCAATCCTGGTGGTAGAACCCAGGCACACACCATTCATGGCAGAACAAGAGAAGAATCCGACCCTTCTATCAGATTTCCATCTCCAGGCAGTGCTGCGTCCAGCTGCTGGGATGGAGGGAAAGTTCTGTGGAGATTCCACAGGTGGGCAGGGCAGGCCCCAGCCCCGACCGCAGGACCCTCTGCCGCTCACTGTGGACACCCTGTGTTGGGGCCGATCTGGGCACTGGAGGACGTGAGCAGCTTCCTGGCCTCACCCACTGGGGCAAGGAGCACCCCTACTGTGCCCTAGTTGCACCTGCGGGCAAAACCAGCCACGATTGAGAAGCACTGCCCTGCATCACTGGGGTGTCCAGCACTCATGAAGAACGCTCATCCATCTACGGAAGAAAGATGGAAGGTTCTGGCAGCCTTCCTACCCGGCCAAGCTAGCCAGCGCCCATGGCTCCGGAGCGGCCTGTAAAATACCATCCCATCACAACAGTGATTTCAACTTTCCCACTTCCCCCAGCAAAACATCCTCACGTCCTCGCAGTCCAGCTGACTTTTATTCTCTTTGAACAGATAGCTTCGACACCCACTGACCTGATGCAGACACAGATTCGTGCTGCTCTGTGTCGGGAGGAGACCCTCGGCCCTCGGAAGCAGAAAGGGGCACGCGGACTCACCGATGAGGGAGTTGAGGGAGGAGTAGGAGCTGGCGCGGCGCATCTTGTCGATGGTCTCGAAGGACAGGATGTGCTCCTCATTCTCGGGGCTGCCCAGGGTACTGCTGGCACTGCTGCTGGTGCTGAGGTTTCCAGGGGAGAACGCCACCGCGCCACCGGCTGCCCGAGACACAGTGGGGTCAGTGGGGTGCTCCCGGGACCCTCCTTTTGGTCTTACAGTTAATGGCATGACTGAGATATGTATTTTCTTCTAAATAAAGCTCAGCACACCCGGGCACAAACACACCCTGGTACACACACACCCTAGCACACACACCCTGGTACACACACCCTGGCACACACACACCCTGGCACACACACCCTGGTACACACCCTGGTACATACACCCTGGTACATACACCCTGGCACACACAGCACACCCAGACACAAACACCCTGGTACACACACACCCTAGCACACATACCCTTGCACATACACCCTGGCACACACACCCTGGCTCACACACACTCTGGTACACACACCCTGGTACACACATACCCTGGTACACACACACCGTGGTACACACACCCTGGTACACACACACCCTGCTACACACACACACCCTGGTACACACACCCTGGCACACACACAGGCACAGGCACTCACTGATCTCCCTGGGATCCAAGCTCCCCACCCACAGACTGGGGCAGGGCACGGCCCTCCAAGGAGCCACCACTTCGCCTGCGACTGCACTTGAGCTCTGCACTGGTAACGCGCCCGCTGGCTGTTCTGGGGACTGGCCTACGCCTCCTTGCCAGGCTCACGTCTGGAAGGGTGACTCCAGACGAGGACAGCTGGCTCATCACCATGGTGCCAGACGGGACTTCGGGGCATGCACTTAGAGAAGGGGCAGGGGCACAGTGATTCTTGCTCAGACAAAAAGTTTTGGAAAATACAAGCCCAATCTCTCCCAATCCAAGAACCCAGTTTCCAGGATCTTACATTCCTCTGTCAAGCTCAGGTTCTGCAAAGATTTGTTGAGGCTCCTGGCTGTGGCGACAGCACGGATGTTTCCGTAGGAGCTCACGGAACGAAGTCTGGGGGTGCACGGGCTGTCTCGCACTGGGGTCAGACTCCCTCCCTCTGGGAAAAGAAGGAGAAAGACAAGTTACGACGGGCTTCCAGGCGCAGGCCGGCGTGTCTTCTGACACTCAGCAGCTGGGACACTCGGTGACGGCAGCTGCTACCTGTGCTGGAACGAATGTGAACGCAGGAGCTGCGCAGCTCAGGGAGACTCAGACGTGAGCAGAGGCTCTGCGGGACGGCACTGGACAAACGACAACCGCTTGTCGCTCTGTGGATATTAAATTACAAAAGACAACGGGGAGAGGCTGATGGCTGTGGCCTGTCCAAGCGCACACGAGGTGCGTGGTGACGTGGGCCGTGAGCCGTTCCCCGGGAAGCCGCAGCAGAGCAATGACCGGCCGCACTCAGTCTGGCTCACCCTTCCCCCTTCCTGGGCTTCCTATAAGCAGTGAGGCTTCACTGTTGATGACAAGCCTCTGCACGGCAGAGACGGCTGTGTGGCAGGGGAGGGGCTGCCAGCAGCGATGAGACAGGAACTGTACTCTCCAGTCAAAACGACACGTGTGAGAAAGGACTCCTGATGTGACTCACCGAGCCACGGAGCCAACAGCAGTGTGATGAAATGACTCACGGCAGGAAGGCGGCCCCTGCGCTTTTCTGCAAGCTCCTATTGCAGAAGTTTTGTCATATTCAAGGTTTCTGTGAGTTTAATTTCCAAAAAGGGTAAAAAGAAAGGAAAAATGTAAGAGGGTCAGTGTGGCCCTCTTTCCTGTCCTTTCGAATCTGACAGGTGCCTAAAAAGATGAGAAACACAGGGACCCCTTGCGGAGGGATCTGGGAAACCTGAGCTTAGACTCTGCGCGAGTCAGCAAGCGGCCAGCCGTCCTGAGACTGGGCCGGGGCCTGCACTGGAACCGCCAGGCAGGTGCTCAGCGGGTTCACAGAAGACGCCGTACCTGTGGTCGCTGGAGAAGGCAAGGGGTAGTTCTTTTCCTCTTCTATAAACTGCAGGGCCACGGTGCAGAAATTGCTTTCGTACTGAACCACGAGATGACTCAGAGCCACCACCAGCTCCTGCCGAGAGGGAGACGGGACAGTAACACTCACTGGGGCCGGAAGATGACTGAGGAGCAGCAGTGAGACTTGAGTCACCCACAGAAAAGAAAGGTTAAGACAAAAGCGTGCTGTCGGCGTCAGAAAAAGGGACCATCCCTTTTCGAACCCAGAAGCCTTGAACACCAGTGCTGTGGAGATGGCAGGCCACCGGCTCACGGGGGAAGCCCAGAACGCCTGCCAGGATCCTCACCACCGCTAGATGCGCACGACGCGTGGGGGTCTCATAAGGACACGGTGAGTCACAGGACTCCAGGCGGGGAAAGGCAGGAGGCCTCACAGCCTCTCGCTTACGGTCACCACTGGGACCCCGGCTGAAAACGCCGCTTTAGATCACACCCGATGGCTGGCGGCCTTTCTGAATCTGAGCACCCCAGGGCCGAGCGCCCCGGACAAGCTGAAGCCTGCTCTTTTCAACACACGTGAAACTTTCACTGGAAGACGTTTCTAGTCCCTAAGAGGGAATGGGAAAAGTTGTGGAACTAAAACATCATCTTTAGGCCCAAATGCCTTGGTCCAAGGAAACAGACACAATTTGCCTCTGTTTTAGGACAGTTCAGTGCCGTGACAGGAACAGCTGGAGATCCTAGAAGTCACTGGGAAACAGAAGGGGGATGTAGGGTTAAAAAACAGAAGGAATGCTTTTTTCCCTACGACAACTTTCTCTGCCTTTTTTTTTTCTACAAAGAAAAAAGATGGATTCTTAGGAGAAAGCCAAGTGCTGCGACAGGACCCCTTGCTTGCTGCGTGATGCTCCCGTCTCCGCAGCGGCAGGATGAGCAGGCTCTGGATGGGCGCCCACCAGGGACCAGGGTCTTCTCGTGGCCGCCCACTCTCCGCCTACACACTCTCTGTCCACGCACTCTCCCACCCCAGCTTTACACGCCCTGGGCTTCCTCCTGTCGTGCTTTGTGGCTTCCCTGATGCTGGCCCCTCACTCTCCTAGCTCCAGGCTGGCTGTCCAGCTGCCGGCTCTTCACCTGCACCCCAAACTCTCCCTGCCCTGTGAACTGTGGGCACCGTCCACTTTCCATTCAGCCTGTAGCGCCCTCTTGATTTGCACTGATGGAACTGCAAGTCTCGCACTGCTCAGAATGGAGCCCTGGCATCACCCTCCACTTGCCCCTCCCGCCCTGCTGGGCACCAAGGGTCGTGGCCCAGTGTGCATCTTCACCGCCATGGCCCACACCCGGTTCTGGTGCTCATCTCCAACTGCCTAAGCCACTGTCTCAGGCTCCCGGACAAACCACAGAACCCCCGCTGCCTTCCCTGTGCGGAGAGTGAGGCGCTGCCCAGACGGGGCCTCCGACAAAGCGAACACCCACCGGGCCCCTTCCAGAGAAGATCAAGGCTGCACCTGTCTTCAGAAAGTACCGATTTTTTCCCTTTCCTTCTGACATCAGGTGAGAAAAGCCAGAGTTGCGCCCTGGCATGGATTAACGTGCACCGAGGTGGTGGGCCTTTCGATTCAGGGGAGGTCAACAGGGGCCACGTCCATTATTCAAGGGGAACATCCAGAGAGCACTCACTCCCGAACACACATCCTGCTGCATACGGCGACCTCGCTCGGAGCCGCACATCCTGCTGCAGATGGTGGGCCTTGCTCTGGAGGCTGCTGCCTGGCACACAGCAAAGAGTTCTCCTTTGCGTCAGACCCTTCCTGCCCTTCCTGAATGGAGCTGGGCTCTGACAGCAGGACACACAGGCACCGGCCTTCTTTGGGACATTTGTGCAGAACCCATCAGAGGGTCTGGCAGAGGGGCTCAGCCAGGGGTGTGGGAGTTCCCCTCTCTCTCAGCTTTTGCAAGATGATCTTGGCTTGTGTTGCCACGTGACCCCTTCACCCTGGGGGCTCCCCAGCAGCACACAGACGGGGAGGCCACATTAGTGGCCATGGGCTCCACACTGACCAGCCTTCCAAGGTCCTCTGACCAGTCGCTTGTCAAAGCCATGGTCTGTCTTCCTGATCCCTGGCTGGGGCTGAGCAGCCTCCCTCGAAGGGGCAGCTTCGCCTGGACTCACACTTCCACCTGTCAGCTCAGCCTTTCCTGTCGGCTCCCCACCTTCGGAGTCCATGCGTGTTCCTAGAACCTGCTCCTTCATGGCCGGCCCCTTCAGTGAGGAGCAAGTCTACTCTTCTGTTGCTCAGACCCAAACCCCGGGGCTCCCTGTCTTCCTCTTTTCTCTACCCTCTCCACCTGCGAGCAAGTGCTGTGAGCTCTGCGTTCAAAGCGTGCGTCTCTTCCTCCCTGCACCATCCCTGCAGCTGGGCGAGCGGCCCTTCTGATCTGGGCAGCCAAAGGCAAGGTCCTGCCTCCAAACCCCTCCAGGCCGCTGATCACGAACAACAAGGCTTGTGCGTGGCTGGGCCACCTGCCCCACTGCCCTCCTGGCCTCTTGTACCTGGCCCTCTGATGGGTATGCCCCCTGCTCTGGGCCCCTCCCTGTGGCAAGGCCTCCCTATGCCCCCAGCCCCATCCATACTAGCTCTGCTCAGCTGCCACCCCGGCCTACCACCCTCATACCCAGCCCCTCCCCCAGCTCCAGGAACACTTTCTTGAGAGAAAAGCTAGGGTTGCCCTGCGGGGTCACTGAGGCCCAAGCCGGCCCAGCACACAGCACGTGCCTGACAAGTGTGTTCTGGGGGAGTGCAGCCCTCCCTGCAGGGGCGAAGTCTGTAACACATGGGTTACTTTCCAACTGTGAACTGGTGCCAGGACTCAAGGACATCTTGCTTGGGCACATGCCCTGCCCCGCTGGGGACCCACGCACCTCCCGGTGTTGACACGGCTGGACTGACCATGGGCTGCCGGCCCACCTAGCCTCCGCCCCTTGCCCACCTGCCCTGAGGGTCACCCACTCCACATTTCCAACAACATGCCACTGGGCGGCTAATATTTGTCTTGTGACCTGTGCTCAGGCATCATAAAACTCAGCTCCCGTGACCACGGCAGGCCCGAGCAGCGCCCTGGGAAGCATCCTGGGAGGCCAAGGCCTGGGATTACAGAGTGGATCCCGTGAGCCCAGGAATTGGAGGCCAGCCTGGGCAACACAGCGAGACCCCATCTCTACAAAAAAGAAAAAAATTAGCCCAGTATGGTGGCACACGCCTGTGGTCCCAACTACTCAGGAGGCTGAGGTGGGAGAATCGCTTGAGCCCGGGAGGCAGAGGTTGCAGTGAGCTGAGATCACGCCACTGTATTCCAATCTGGGCGACAGAGCGAGACTCCGTCTCAAAAAAAAAAAAAAAAAAGGAGGATGGATGTAACCTTTTTGGTATCCAGTACACATTGCTTCTATGGAAAAGCAGCAGTAACACCCTTCTGTCTCCCGCCCCAGAGGGCGGCAGGAGCTGCTCAACCAGGCCTGCTCCCCGACCCCAGCCCCACAGCGGGCTCAGGACAGGCCCTGAGGAGAGGCTGCAAGAAGGGGGCTGGCTCCATACCTGCCAGGCTCCTTGCTGCTTGTGCCTGTGCCCAAGTCCCCTGCAGAGCACCGTTCCCACTCATGGTGGTTGGCAAACAGGAGAGAAAACCAGCTGTGATGTGGCAGGACTCCATGACGAGGACGGAGGTGCACCCCCGGAGCTGGCACCCCCAGAGCTGGTGCACCCCGAGTAGGCCACTCCCCGAGTCGGCACAACTCAGAGTCGGTGCACCCCCCGAGTTGGCACACCCCCCAAGTCGGCACACCCCAGAGTCGGCGCACCCTCTGAGTCGGCACACCCCAGAGTCAGTGCAACCCTGGAGTCGGTGCACCCCAAGTTGGCACACCCCCTGAGTTGGCGCACCCAAGTCGGTACACCCCCTGAGTCAGCACACCCCAGAGTCGGTGCACCCCCCGAGTCGGTGCACCCCCCAAGTTGGCACACCCCACAGTCCGTGCACCCGAGTCGGCACACCCCAGAGTCGTTGCACCCCTGGAGTTGGTGCATCCCCTGAGTTGGCACACTCCGAGTCAGTGCACCCAATTCGGTGCACCCCCTGTCGGTGCACCCCCTTAGTCGGCACACCCCAGAGTCGGTGCACCCCTGGAGTCGGTGCACCCCGAGTTGGTGCACCCCCCGAGTTGGCACACCCCAGAGTTAGTGCACCCCTGGAGTTGGCACAGCCCCCGTCGGCACCGTCCCCAGAGTCAGCGCACCCCCTCAGAGTCAGTGCACCCCTGGAGTCTTCGTGCCAGTGCAGCCTGCTTGGGGAGGCCTCCTGGTCACACGTGAGTGATGGTGTCTTTCTCTGACTCCTCACTACCCTTCCTCCCTCCAGACATCACCCTGCCAGCTGAGGTTATCAGCTCTGTTTGCTGCTTCTCCTGCTAGAACGCAAACCCCCTGAAGCCGGGAAGCATCTCAAGTGCCTGATGTGGTACCCAGCGCTGGGCAGACACCAGAAAAATACTTGCTGCAAGAGTGAACCCTGTTAGATTTGTAAGAATAGAGCACTTATTGAAGGCACATTCTTGACAGCTGGAGCCTGGCACTCACAGCTCCTGCCTTCAGCCTCACCCCACTGCCCCTCCTGCCTGCTCAATGGTCCGGCCACGTGGAAGGAAGGTGGCCCTGAGCCCCTCCATCTTCCCCACGCCTGAGCCTCTGGCCACTCAGAAGAGGGGTGGCCCTGAGCCTCTCCATCTTCCCCATGCTTAGGCCTCCGCACACGCTCCTCCCACTTATCCAGCCCCTCCTGGGTGACGTATGACTCACCCTCCATAACCAGGTAAGAGCTGCCCCTCCACAAAAGCCTCTGCCTACCCCCTTCCCGCTCAGATGCAAGCACAGGCCCAGCTCTCAGGAGCTCCAGAGCACTCCAGGCAGCACTTCTCCACAAGGCTCTGGTGTAATGACTGTATCTGTATCTGTCTCTTTGATTAGACTGCATGCTCCTGGAGGGCAGGGGCTGTCATCCCCCCTGCTCCACACGCCCTACCCAGCGTCCCCGAGACAGCTGTTTCCCGGTCGGCAGCACCTCCTCTGAACCCCATGGTGTCCTCGCAGGCCACATCTCCAGGATGCAGGTTCAGCAGGTGGCCGTGCAGGCGAGTGAATGCCGAACCACTCCCAGTGGAGGGTGAGCTTCATCTCAGTGCCCCAGCAGCCAGGACCACACCACGGGACACAACCCGGGACGGACACCCAGCCCCAAGATGGCTCTTGGGGAACGCCTCACAGTTAACGCCCTCTCTATTTTCACATTGTTTTTGTAAAGAAGAAACAAAGCTTTCCTTACTTTCAAAAGAATTTTAACAGACAAATCGCTGATTTGCTGCTTTGATCAGTGATGTCCACTAAAGGTGATTTGATTCGGGAAAAAGAATCTGGCAGGGGCTGAGAGAAGCCAGGTTCAGAAACCCGGCCATGAGGAGAACGTGAAGATAACAAAGTCAGAACCAACAGAAAAGGCTCGCCAGAGTCTCACTTCATATTTTCAAGATCTCAGTAGAAAATGTAGCATCCTAATGACTTGGGCTAATTCTAGAAGGGAATGCAGGATAGAACGTGCCTCTCCACGCTTCGTCTGTCTGAGGGAAACCCGGCCAGATCACGTCCCTCCCAAGTAAAGCGGCGGCATCTGCTCTCCCAACAAACAATCCCCAGCCCCTGGTCCACGGCCCGTCTCCTGATAGAGCCCGTCTCCAAGAGAGAGTCACACATAGCCCGCACAGGAACGCGCGAGGTCCTGATAGAACCCATCTCCAAGAGAGTCACACACAGCCCGCACAGGAACGCGCGAGGTCCTGACAGAACCCATCTCCAAGAGAGAGTCACACACAGCCCACACAGGAACGCGCGAGGGGAGACACAGACTCCCCACCCAGAAAGCAGCTCTGTGCTCCAGCTGTCGGATGAGTTCTCTGCAAGAGCAGCCTTCGATCTCACCAGCAAAGGAGATCGGGAAACCAGTGTCTTCCTAAACACCCCTTTTGCGCTGCAGTGGGTGGGGGAATTTGAGGGTGTGTGGAACCAACTTTTTCTAGGGGTGTGAAACCTTGGACAATCATCAGTGATGTTTCTACATTTAAACAGGTGAGTAAGTTTTCAAGTTTATAAAACTGTTTTGGCCAGGCACGGCCACTCACGCCTGTAATCCCAGCACTTGGGAGGTCGAGGCGGGCGGATCAGGAGATCAGGAGATCGAGACCATCCTGGCTAACACAGTGAAACCCCGTCTCTACTAAAAATACAAAAAACTAGCCGGGCGCGGTGGCGGGTGCCTGTAGTCCCAGCTACTCAGGAGGCTGAGGCAGGAGAACGGCATGAACCCGGGAGGCGGAGCTTGCAGTGAGCCGAGATTGTGCCACTGCACTCCAGCCTGGGCGACAGAGCAAGACTCTGTTTCAAAAAAACAAACCAAATCAAAACAAAAGTGCTGACATACGGGGGGTGTGGGGGGACCCAGGCCACAAACCTTCCCGCCACCTGTGGGCGGCTGCGTCTCTTTGGAGCCGCAGTGGTGCCTGTGTGCGGTGCTCCCAGGCCGGAAGGAGACTGCTACACAAGCTGCCGGGAGGCGCGACCTACTAAATGCCTTTACGTGAAGCAAACACACGGGTGTCTGGTAAAGAAACGCATTTTGGAGAGAATGAAACATGTAAAGATCTGCTCTCGAAATGACACACAGTGGAAACTAAGTGCTCCCTGCTGCGGTCAGGGCCACGCGGGCTTCGCCCCAGGTGTCGCGGGGTCTGGCCTGGGCACCCTGCTGCTGCCGGGCTGGGGGTTCACGCACCTTCCGGACCATGGGGCTCCCGTCGCTGACCAGCTGGGCCAGCATCATGGCCACGTTGTGGTCAATGGTGGTGGAGTGGTCCGTTCTCTCTGCAGAGTTGCCCACGAACGTGCCAAGGGCGAAGACCGCCGCGCAGCGGACCTGCAAGGCAGCAGGGGGTCACACGCATGTCCCACGCTGGGCCATGCTGCAGCCTGCCTTTCTGCCAGGGCTGTGTGCAGGTGAATCCAACCCCACAGGTGCTTGCTGAACAGCTCTCCAGGCCCCAGGCTCTCCTTGCACTGCCAGAGAGGCAACAGGGAAGGAGGTGGGGAGCAGCAGGGGCAGCCGCCCAGCTCCAGGGCCGGACGGCCAGGCTGCAGAGGCAGGAGCTGCATTGCCCTGGGAACTGAAAGACCAAACCAGGCGCCAGGGAATGTGCTGATGAACAAGGCAGGAGTTAGAGGAGGGGGCTGGGAGGGGCCACAGAGCATGGGAGGGTGGAAAGAGGGGAAGGTGCAGGCACTCCTGGAGGCAGAGGGGCATGGGGGTCCCGGAGTGCACCAAGCACACAGGCCTCAGCCAGGGGAGCGACACCATGTGGTCCTGGGGTTCGGGGACCCTGGCTGAGCCCCTGCCTCCAACACCACGTGGTCCTGGGGTTCGGGGACCCTGGCTGAGCCCCTGCCTCAGGCCCACCTCCGACACCACTGGTCACCAGGGTTCGGGACCCTGGCTGAGCCCTGCCTCCGACACCACGTGGTCCTGGAGTTCGGGGACCCTGGCTGAAGCCTGCCTCAAACACCACGTAGTCACGAGGTTCGGGGACCTGGCCTGAGCCCACCTCGAAACTGCCACGTAGTCCTGAGGTTGAGGACCCTGGCTGACTGAGCCCTGCCTCCGACACCGTGGTCTGGGAAGTAGCCCGGTCCCTGACTTGCCCTCCAGGGGGACCCTGGCTGAGCCCCTGCCTCCGACACCACGTGGTCCTGGGGAGAAGTGACGGTCCCTGACTTGCTTCCTCAGCTGTAAAAATGAGCAACACCCTGTACCCTGCATAGGGCAGGGCGAAGTGAAGCGTGAAGGCAATGGTGCATGCAACTCCCAGAGTTCCAGCCTGCGGCCATTCTGTGGGCAGCGCCCTGCGCCTTCCCCAGCTGCACCAGGCACAGCCACTGGCCTGTCTCCTTCCCCGTAAAGTGGAGATCTAGTAGTCCTTGCCTTGAAGGCCGCGGTGAGGACACAGAGCAGCACCCAGAGAGCGAGCACGTGACCCCTGCCTCTGAGGTGCCCTCCGGGACCCCCGCTTGCAGCTGTGCCACTGTCCCCGGGAGTGCACTCTGGGCCCGGGTGCAAAATCCCCAGGGGCGTGGCTCTCCTCTCACTAAGGTTCCACGGTCCTACTCTTGTTAGCGCGCAGCCCTGAAGTTCCTGGACGTGGGCCGGCCACACCTGCACACGAGCAGACCTCTGCCTCCCCCGGGAGCTCCCGCAGTCAGCAGCCAGGAGGATGGGTCTCTGAGCCCCGCCGGACTCACCTCGGGAATGGGGTCGGAGAGGAGGCTGTAGAGCTTCTCATGAGCGCTGTCCCTCACGCCGCACCACCTCGCCGAGTCGAAGTTCTGCCAGATCCTGCCGAGGCAGATGGCCACCCACTGGCGCAGCAAGGGGTGCGGGTCGTTGAGCTGCTCCAGGCAGATGGCAATGAGGTTTCCCTGAAGGCAGGCTTCCTGCAGAGGCAGGACCACAGACAGGTGGGCCTCTGCCTGCCAATGGCGGGCACGTGGTGGGTGCCTGTGCGGGACGGTGGTGGCCACCCGTTCTTGGGAGGCCTTGATATGCTCAATTTTCCCCATTGTAAATTCCTGATTCCTATTCACCCTGCAAATGGCTGGCTAGACGAAGGGCCCGAGCCTCTGCTGGACACCCCCTCGCCCCCACGTGGCACCACGTTTCCCAGTGGGCCCAGCTCCTCTGCAACGTCAAGGGTGGGCTCTGGGGGCTGGGGGTGGCTGGGGTGCTCACCTGCCCCGTGTTATAGCTGTTGACGATCACGGCGAGAATGAAAGCCGTCATGGTCCTGTGTTCGGCCTGGAAAACAAAAGCCAGTCTCGGTTGTCCCCCCTCAATGGCAACTCTCATTCCCAAAGCACAACAGCGTGATCCTTTCTGAATCTTCACGATATGCGTGGCGCATAATTAAAGTAATGAGAGCCAGCTTTACTGCTGGATTTTGAGTGGACTCTACAAAAATGAAAAGCCATTTTCAAAGGCCTGAGAGTTCTGGGCTCCCCTCCCAGAGTGAAGAGACTACTCCTTGGAAGGCCTAACACTGCAGGACGGGCACAGACCTGGTGGCTGTCTCATCTGTCACAGGCCAGCCATGGCTGTCGGTATGAAGCACCCGGACCTCACCTCCCCAGCCTGCCCAGCACTCTGTGAGCGTACGGTCCTGCAACCGGGGGCTTTGGCAGCAAAGCCATGGAGGCAGCCCTCGAACTGTGTTTCACTGTTTTCTCCTTTCTGCTCTTCTACTGTGACTCATTTTCATTCTCTCCTGTCCTCTGTGCCTCTGCTGACCTGGAAACCAGAGTCTATTTGTAAGTTTTTAGTGGTGCCTTAGTTTTTTACGTGCACACCGCATGGTCTAGTGCGTCCTACGCTAGACCAATAATCCAATAATCTTGGATTATTGCAGGGCTCCCAAGGTACCCAATTCCTCCTCTTGTTTGACCCTCCAATTCGCCATGAGTATTCTTCATTTTTGCAAAGCTTTAGATGTGCCAACATGTTTGCCAACTTCTTGGCTTTTTGCTGTGTCCCACATCTTGCTTTTCCCTCCTGGTTCCGTTTCCTCCTCGCTGACATGTGGTCTTTCTAGCCATCGTCTGTAGGGTTCGGAAGGAGTCAACTGTTGGTGTCTAAACGCTGCTTACTGCACCCCCATTCCTGAGTGGTGACTGAGCTGGGTGCGGGCGACCCGACCACGGCTGCTTTCCTCTCACGCCGAGGGCTCCCCATCCCCTGCCGAGAGCCACTGCTGATGAGAGGTCTGCTGTCGGGGCCAGCGCTGTTTCCTCCTTTGCTGACAACGTTTGTTCTGGGAACTTTTAAGGTTTGTCTTTATGCCTTTGATATTGGCTGTTTTCATTATGATGTGCCTGTGTATGAATTTGTTTCTCTTTAACCTTCTCAGGATTCATTCTGCTTTTAAAATTGGAACTCTCCTTTCTTCAAATCTGGAAAATTCACAGCCACTATCTAACCAAAAACCGCTTCTCCACTTATTCTCCTCTCTCGTTCTGAACCATGCTGGCTACATGGTGAGCGCTTCCAGCCCAGCTCTTAGCCCGGCTTTCATATCTTCTCACTCAGCTTCACGGACAGCGCTCCAGGTGGCTCCTTCACGAACCCTCTTCTTGGCTGTCTGTTCTGTGATTTAATTCATCTCCCGAGTTTTCAATAACAGTGCATGTCTTTTCTTTTTTACAGCTTCGATTTGTTTTTTCAGATCTGCTTACGAGTTTAGAAAAATCAATCATTTCTGAGGATGAGTAGGAAGCTCTGAATATTTTCTCGTAACAGGCACAAAGCGCTGAAGAAACAAAACAATGGTTGACGGTTTGACAGAATCACACCAAATTCTTTCCAGTTAGTCATTTAAGAATATTTATATTATTTATTTACTTAGTGGAGACAGGGTCTCACTCTGTTGCTCAGGCTGGAGTGCAGTTGTACAATCACAGCTCATTGCAGCCTTGACTTCCCCGGGCTCAGGCGATCCTCCCACTTCAGCATCCTGAGTAGCCGAGACCACAGGCGTGCGCCACAACACCCGGCTAATTTTTTGTAGTTTTGGTAGAGACGGGGTTTCACCATGTTGCTCAGGCTGGTCTCGAACTCCTGAGCTCAAGCAGTCCACCAGCCTTGGCCTCCCAAAGTGCTGGGATTACAGGCATGAGCCACTGCACCCAGCCTCCTTTTCATTCTTTCAAACATGGCTGTCTCCTCAAAACTTCCACAGGCTGGTGGCTGAGGTGGGGCCATTCTTGTGAGCTTAGCTCACTCTCGTGCCCAAGTCGCCAGTGGGCATTCTTCCTCACTTCTTCTTGTGGGATTTGCTTTCTTCCTTATTGTTAAGAATGGGAAGTGATGGTTTCCAAAACTGACATAAAGTATAAACTTTAACTGCCTGTGATGATGTTTCAATACAACACAAAGTGCATGTACTATTTACCTTTTGGAAAACAGTCCTGTTTGTTTTCTGTGTTTTAAAAAATCATTTAGCTTAGAAAACCAACTAGGGGGTGAAATTACATACAAAAGTTCCTTTATACAGCCAAAGCCACCTACCACTGTGTAAACTAGCTAATATACTTAAATATTCTGGCAATATTTAGTTATGGTAAAGAATTATTTAGGATATATTTTGTTCTCATTACTAACCTGGGAGCTAGAAATAAAACATTATGAAACATTTACAGAATAACTATATACCCTATTCATGAATTACTAATTTTTAAACAATTTAATACAATAAAATATACTGAAAATGTAAACTTTCGAACAACCTTCTTTCCTTACTTTCCTCTCTCCCTTCCTTCCTGAAACGAGGTGCTTCGATATCTTGTTGTGTTCCAAGACCTTCCTAGGTGCCGGAACCATCACATTAGAGATGTGCCAGTGCTTGCTAGTCTAATGCAGTGGACAGCAGGGAGAGTTGATTTGACCATTTTGCAAAGTGCCAGTGAAAACAGACTAAAATAAACCAAAACAATCCATGTGTCCGGGTTAACTGCGCTGTTATTTAGAGACAGACATGAAACAACAGCTGCACTCATGGTGCTGAGCAAAGGGCCGTGTCTAACATGAAGCAGTTGCTGACCCCGCGGATGTGGCCCCTGCTGTGACCCTTGACCTTCCTCCTGTAGCCCCCGTCAAAAGGCCCCACCACAGTGCAACATGTGGGCAGAGGCGAGTGCTGAGTCCTAAGCCCGTGGAGAGGGTGCTGCCCAGTCCTTACTGGCATGTAGGGGTCCGCCAGGACCGACAGGAAGTACTTGTGGCCGTTGTCCTTCACGAGGTCCGCCTGGCACGACTGGAGAGAAAGAGACAGAGGAGAGGCAGTGAGTGCAGCGTCCCGCAGATGCCTCAAGCTTCTCGTTGTGCACAAACAAATGAGGGCATGGACTTCTTAGACCTCAATTATTTCCTCCTCTCAAGCCCAGTTTTCATTTGAAAAACAGCTGCAGCGGCGCCTTGGCTAAGGGGAGGGATCCCACAAACGCCCAGAGGAAAGCAGCTCCCAGACATTCTTTCACACCGCCGGGGTGCCTGCTGGGGAGTGTCCTGCAGCCCCTGACTGCACCCCACTCCTCTCCAGGCGGCCCACTCCCTCCCTCTGCCCTCCACACTGGAGCACATCCAACCAGCACTCACTCGGAACCAGCCTGTTCGTGCAGACCCGGCCCCGCTCAAGCTTTTCTTGGGGGTTTGCTTGGACTTACAAAATACTGAAAAGCAATCATGTGCGTGAGGCAGTAGCTCCCAGTGGTTTGTGTGCAGTTCCACTTGAGCAGGCGCTTCCCACTGGCCCGACTCACCTTCACAGGCAGGCCCCAGGTGGGAGGTTTCCTGGTGCTAAAGCTGCTGTCAGGCAGGGGACCTTCCCACGCTTCAGGCCATTCTGTGCCTGTCCACACAATCACAGACACACGGCCATGGCTTGCCACAGTCGTGAGGACCTACTGTGTGCTGCCAGCACAATCGCAGCCTTGCGGCCATGGCTTGCCACAGTCATGAGGACCTACTGTGTGCTGCCAGCACAATCGCAGCCTATCGGGCATTCTATGCCATTACCGCCACAGTCATGAGGACCTACTGTGTGCTGCCAGCACAATCGCAGCCTCGCGGCCATGACTCGCCACAGTCATGAGGACCTACTGTGTGCTGCCAGCACAATCACAGCCTCACGGCCATGGCTCGCCACACTCGTGAGGACCTACTCTGTGCTGCCAGCACAGTCACAGCCTCACGGCCATGGCTCACCACAGTTGTGAGGACCTACTGTGTGCTGTCAGCACAATCGCAGTCACGCTGCCATGGCTCGTCACAGTCATAAGGGCCTACTGTGTGCTGTCAGCACAATCACACGGCCATGGCTCACCACAGTCGTGAGGACCTACTGTGTGCTGTCAGCACAATTGCAGTCACGCTGCCATGGCTCGTCACAGTCATAAGGGCCTACTGTGTGCTGTCAGCACAATCACACGGCCATGGCTCATCACAGTCGTAAGGGCCTGTGTGCTGTCAGCACAATCACACAGCCATGGCTCGTCACAGTTGTGAGGACCTACTGTGTGTTGTCAGCACAATCACGTGGCCATAGCTTGTCACAGTTGTGAGGACCTACTGTGTGCTGTCAGCACAATCACAGCCATGTGGCCATGGCTCGCCACAGTTGTGAGGGCCTACTAGGTGCCGAGCACTGGGTATTTGCACCCAGCTGAGCACAGAGGCTCATGTCTATAATCCCAGCACTTTGGGAGGCTGAGGCAGGCGGATCATGAGGTCAGGAGTTTGAGACCAGCCTGGCCAACATGGTGCAACCCTGTCTCTACTAAAAAATACAAAAATTAGCCGGGTGTAGTGGCACGCACCTGTAGTCCCAGCTACTCGGGAGGCTGAGGCAGGAGAATTGCTGGAACCCGGGAGGTGGAGGTTGTAGTGAGCAGAGACTGCACCACTGCATTCCAGCCTGGGCGACAGAGCAAGACTACATCTCAAAAAAAAAAAAAAAAAAATATGTGCTCAGGTCGTGGAATCAGAGATGAAACCACACATGTGAAAGCAGTCTGAAACTGTAGTGCAATGTACAAATCATGGACGCTGTGTTTCTTGGAGAGGGACCCACAGAGCATGGGTTTCTAGGATCAATACCTAGAAACTGATCAGTGACAGACATTGCATCCACAGAGTGAGGCGTGTGTTCCGCCAGCTCCCAGCATGCTCCTCTCCAGAGGACGAAGGCCATCCAAGGACAGAGGACCGAAATTTTAAGAACTGGTTGTCTGAGGATCAAGAAGAGAACGACTCTTCAGTGCAGCCCTGCATGGCTGGCCCTTTCCCACTGAGGCAGGAGTGATTTTGCAGAGGGAATCTGTTGGTTATGCAGCCCAGAAGCCCCTGACCCCGCTATTTCTCAGGGGTGCTCTTATAATGAGGTGTTTCTGCCTCACATCAATACACTGATGAGGCGGGTTATGGGCTGGGCTGCTGGAACAAGAGCTGAGTGTGATGGGGAGCGGGTGGTCAGGGAGCCGGGCGCCAGCCTCAGATTGCCAGCTGCTCCACCGAGCTGAGGAGGCCAATTAAGCAGGCAGTTTTCAAGCAACAACTGGCTTTAGCTGGAGGTTTTGACAAATAAACTGAGACACATCGACCGCTGTCCATGTAAAGACTCAGCCCAGAGGGCCAGGGCAGCAGAAAAAGCACCCAGTTCTGAGAATGAAGGCACATTCCTTTGTTTTAACCGGAGGTTTCACAAGTCAAATCGAAGCCCACGCATTCACAGTGAAGTTCCTCAAACATGTCTCGTGAGCGCGTAACGAAGCATCACTGACTCAAATCTTACTAATTCTGAATTTCAGGCATGAAATCAGGGTGGGAGAACTTAGATGTGCCCTCGGTATCAGAGTCTGGCAACTCTGTGGTGTGTACTACCAGATCTCTGTGTCGGAGTCTGGCAACTCTGTGGCGTACACTACCAGATCTCTGTGTTGGAGTCTGGCAACTACGTGGTGTATACTACCAGATCTCTGTTTTGATATGGTCATCGTGCCAGGTGGGAACCATGGATGATGATGCCTTTTCATACCTTCATTTCAGCGCTCAGCAGGGGTCATTTACATATTGGTTTAATACACAGATTTTCACTAACTCAAACCGCCCCCACCCTCCCCGCAGGCAGGAACCTGGGAGCTCCCACTTCACTGGCTGAGGGGACTGGGGTGGACTCTCTCAGCTGCTGCTCACTAGCCCAAATTACAAGCACACTTGGACCAAGGGCCTTGTTACACAGAAGAGGAAATAAGACTTGAAACTACACACATGCAGAACGGCAGCCAGCAGGCGACACACACACCCTGGGTGGCACGGGCTTGGTGGGAAGACCCGGCAGGCGACACACACACCCTGCGTGGCACGGGCTTGGTGGGAAGACCCGGCAGGCGACACACACACCCTGCGTGGCACGGGCTTGGTGGGAAGAGCCGGCAAAGACTAGGGGCTCAGAAGAACGGCACGGTGCCAGCAGCACGAATCTGCCAAAGCCACCTTCTCAACAGGCTCCATCTTGCTGTGCTCATTTTCTCCAGATCAAACTATAGTGGTGACATGTTAAGGCCAGAGTAGAAAGCAGGTGCAGAGGAAAGAGCAATATGAATTTTTTTTTTTCTGAGCAAGCCCCCTTTCCTTACCACACATTGAAGCCAATTTTGACTCTTCTGCGTGTCACGATTTCAGGAATTTATATATCTTTTAATGGGGAAAAGGGAGGTGAGGAAGGGAAGAGCAAACACAAAGTGGGAAGATGCAAGCATATATTCATTGTTGGAGCAACTACAGATGTGGTTTGCAAACAGATACGACAATGGGGCAGAGACCAGGAGGAGTCCCTGGCCAAGGCCCTGCCTTCTGCAAGGTGTACCCATAAGGCCAGGGCGGGCTTTCTTCCTCTGAATATTCTGGCAAAAGATGTCATGGGAAGAGACCCTCCCTTTATTCTCCTTAACGAAGTTTTTAAGGATTATTTTATGGAGAAGTAGGAACACAAGAATTACGCCCAGGCTAACAGACCACCATGCCTGACGGAGAAGGCTTAAAGAGGCAGGATGATGAGCCAAGCTCTGAGCAATTTCATGCGAACACCCTGCCACTCACGTTCTGATGTGAACACAGAGACAATCACAGAGCTACGGGGCCATGGTTCATGTCCACTGGGTAGAAGTCTCTCCCTTGTTATGAGCAGGAGTGCTGGAAAGCAAAGAAAGTTTCCAACAAGAAAATAGCTCCTGAGTGAGCCTTCGGTGGCCTGTTACCGTAACATGAGGATGCTACCGGGAAGCCATCTGAAGGTAGATGGAGGCGGTGGCCTGTTACCATAACATGAGGATGCTACCGGGAAGTCATCTGAAGGTAGATGGAGGGCTGCGCTGAGATGTTTATATTTGCAGTTTTCACAGTGGTGGGTGCTAATAAAACTGGTAGTGCCTGGGAAAATAATACCAAAATAGGGATTTCTGTTTACTGGTCACAAGAGCTCACTGTTCTTCACGACTTCAGCAGAACATCCACTGAGCAGTGGAAGACAAGCTTTCCACCTCAGGCCTTCACCCTTGGGCACAGTGCATTCCCCACTTGCCAAGAGGTAAGATATTTAAACATAAATATATATATTAATATAGACATATTGATTTTCTATAAATGGTTAATTCTAATCCACCACTTTGGGAGGCTGAGGTGGGCGGATCATGAGGTCAAGAGATGGAGACCATCCTGGCCAACACAGTGAAACCCCATCTCTACTAGAAACATAAAAATTAGCTGGGCGTGGTGGCACGTGACTGTGATCCCAGCTACTCCGGAGGCTGAGGCAGGAAAATCGCTTCAACCCGGGAGGTGGAGGTTGCAGTGAGCTGAGAGATCAAGTCACTGCAATCCAGCCTGGTGACAGAGCGAGACTCTGTCTCTAAAAAAAAAAGAAGCCCTTTAGTTATTCTCAGGCCAGACATAACTACGTCTACAGTGGCCCTGAATGCTGTGTCTGATGTCCATAGCAAAATCACTGGCATGCTTTCCATCTTTTTCAATCTTTTTTGTACATGTCCTAAAATTTGTAGGCATCAAGGATCAAACATTAAAATGCTACAGACAGGTACAGACTGAGACATCCTCTGCCCCTACATGTAATCCTTATTCCACTGCTCATCTCTTCCGGGGGGACCCGCTGTTCAGCCCGGGCTGACTTGGGTTCACACGTCTGTATGTCCACACGTCTGCGCGACTTCCCCAGCACAGACCGAGTGCTGTCCTGCCGGG